ATAAATGGACTGATGAGTGGATGAATAGAGCAATGAACAGACGGGCAAATGGACGAATAAGGCAATCGTCATCTCGTGGGCGGATCCGCCATTACCCATCCCATGATCTGGCCAATCCGCTCTCCACCCCTGCACATGGGAGTACTCAGCCTCTACAGAAACCCCAGCCAGTGGCCTCACCCAGCCGACTTCTGCTCCCACAGGAGGCCCAGAAAGGGGAAGGGAAGCCAGCTCACTCTCTCATCTCCCAGCTTGGCCCTGGGCCTGGCTAAGAACAAAGGTGGTTCCCCACTCTGCAGACTCCCACCCCACTGCCCTTCTGGGGGTCTCCGCAGGCCCAGTCTGCCTTCTCGCTGGCTCTTACTTCTGCCAGGGCCTCAGCCTCCAGGGACTTGTGGTCCCCTAGGCTGCTGTGCCTGGTGGAGCTGTAGGTCGACCTCATGGAGTGCCCTTCGGACAGTGCCTTCTTGTCGGGGTAGTTGATGCTGCCGGCACTCCCGAACGTCGCCATCCTCCGCTTCTCGGGGCTCTCGATCCTCCCTCGGCTGAGGGGGATTTTGTGGGGGCTGCTGGGGCAGGCGGCGGCCCGGGGTGGCGTGTCCATGTTGGGGCCCAGGCCCCGGGGCGGGCTGTGCGTGTCGCCCCCACTTCGGCGCCTGGGGATGGCCGCTCCGTCGGATCGTAACCGCACTCTGCAAAGGAGCCAGGGGACGGAGGCATGGGGCAGTGGTCAAGCCTGGCAAGTCTCAGAATGAGTCAGCCAACCCGCATGCCACACACTACACACTAGTCTAGGGAGCCAGTACAGTAAAGCCTCATTCAGCCCGACTTCATGATTCTGCAAGGAAAGGGCTGGCTCAGCACATCACTCAGCAGCAGGGGACGGACTGATGGGACACAGGAGGGAATTTGGAGCCCAGTGCTTGCAAGCTGCAAACAGTTGTGGTGCTAATTAAGTAATGACTCTCGTCTACTACGTGTTGAGTCAAGGCCATAGGATTTCAACCTGGAAATGCTTTGGGGATGGTTAGTTCAGCTCGTGATACATTCTGAAGTAGCTCAGACACTTCCATGATTCCAGTGGGCTTCCAATTGGTCTGAAGCATTGAGGCTTGACTGTACCAAAGTTACTAGCACTCTGCAAGCACAGGATGGGACCACTGGGAACAGAACACAGTCTAATGTTGTCACCCGCCCTCAATCTCCCCAGAAAGGGGTCATTTCTATGAGCTTTTCTCAATCTTGGAAAACGAGTCATTCAAGAGCAAACACTGCATTGCTAGATACCTCTTTTGTGCATTTGAGTACCTTTCCCACCCCGGGGAGACTCTGGTGCAGTGAAAGGGGATTACAGTGTGTATTAGGAGGGCCAGCCCTTGTCCTGTGTCTGCCACACACTTTCCTGTGTTCTCTCTCAGATTCATTTTATTAATCTGTTCAATGGGTATAATATCCTTTGCCCACCTTCGAGTGAGCTTGAAAGCACTTTGAAGATAAAAGGTTCTACACACCGGAGATTTTGCTGCATCCTATGGAGGTCACCAAAGATTCTGAGGCCCTGGTGAGGGGAGGGAAGGCTGGAAAAAGGGAGGGGGTAGGAAGAGGAATGGTGTGTTGGAAATGGATTGTGACTAGGAACCATCAGCGCTTCAGATCCTAGTGCTACAAGCCAATCTAAGCAGCGCCTGTGAGTGTCCCAACGGAACCAAGCATAAGTGTTGAAGAGAAATAAATACTGAGAAAGAAAGAACAAGAAGAAAGAAAGTAAGGGTGGAAAGAGGGTGTGGAAAAGAGAGGCAGAAGATATGGTCCTCCTAGAGTTAGGAAACCATAGCTTTTTGATCTACCTGTCCCGGACGTCCACTTCCTTGCCCTTCCCAATTCTATCAGTGCCCTGAGCTATCTGCTGAACAGAGTAGAATTTGCTGCAAAGAGGCATCTGAACTTCTGCTGAAATAACTCCACAAATGCATGCTCCTAATATGACTGATTCTTTTGACTGTATCTGCAAATACCCACATGTGCGAGTTGATCACATGATCACATGACCCCTGGAAAAAACATAGAATGTGACATTTTGAGAGTGTGATTTAAAAAGCAGTGAGAAGCCGGGCTCGGTGGCTCAGCCTGTAATCCCGCGCCTTGGGAGGCTGAGGTGAGCGGATTGCCTGAGCCCGCGGGTTCGAGGTCCTCCTGGGCAACTTGGCGAGACCTCATCTCTACAATAAATAAAAAAATGAGCCGGGTGTGGTAGTGCACGCCTGTAGTTCCAGCTACTTGGAAGGCTGAGGCGGAAGGATCGCCTGAGCCCAGCAGGTCGAGGCTGCAGTGGCCAGGAGCGGTCACTGCACTCCAGTCTGGGCGACAAAGTGAGACTCCAACTCAAAAAAATACAATAAAAATAAAATAAAATAAAAAATAAAAAGCAGTGAGAAACTGTCAGCTTTTCTTCTTGTTTTCTCGTTAATTTTTTTAAACAATCACATGCCTTTAACTATACCTGTTCTCAGAATGACGTGTGTAGCTCCTTGCCTGGTAGAAAGGTCACATGCCACAGCCTAGCCCACGCGTGAGGAGGGAAGAAATTGGCAATTCTGCTTCCACCGAATAAAGTGGGTAGAGTCGGGTGTCAATTTTTCCCAACCCATGAGTAGGTGTGAGTTTTCTGTTTATGTAGTACATTTCAGGGAGTATGTGAGATTTACATTTTAAAATATAACAGCTCAGGTCTTCAACAGAAAGCCGGGAGGAGGTACAGGAATTAGAGAGAGGTAGGAAGAATACTTGCCAATTTGTATCTCTCTCTCTTATTTATTATTATTTTTAAATTAAAACGAAAACCACCGAGTTCCCAACATATGTCTTTCTTCTTCCTTCTTCCCCCTTCCACTCCAGCATGGATGGTCTTAGACCTGGCATTCTTGGACCAATGCCAGTCAGCCAGCCAGCCCTGTGTATCTGGTATCACATCTCATGGGGACAAGGGGTGGCAGCAACCTCCTCCCCTCCTCCCTGCCCTCTTGCTTCTCCCAAGTCAGACGTGAGCAGGCATGGCACTACAAGGAAAAGAATGAATCTGCACTTCCTACCGGCCCATCACCCCACCAAAGCCGTAATCCGAGATGTGCTCTGTGGGGGACTGGAGGTCATTTTTGGAGGAGGCCTTGTCATCCAGCAGCGGCCCACTGCTGGCCTCGCTGTCAGCCTTCTGGCTCAGACTGTCAGAGAAGGCATCGTCCCTGGAGAGAAGACAGATGTGAATTGGAGGGTGCCTCCCATCGGGGAACCCAAGATGTGCAGGACTCTTGATACCCAACCGAGGGGCTGAAGCGACC